CGAACTCCGGGAGCACGTGTTCGTCGAACAAGAAGAGGAAGAAGAAGAAGAAGTCCGCGTATTCGATGGCGCCGAATCGAGTTGTGTGCCCTTACTGTCAGCGTCAGTTCCCTTGGACTTCGTCGTTGCGACGACACATTCTCACTCACACCGGTCAGAAGCCGTACCAATGTATGCACTGCTCACATCACTTCACCACCAAGTCTAATTGCGACCGACACTTGCTGAGGAAGCACAAGGCGAAGGCGAATAAAATGCGCCGCGCTAGGAACTCCTCCTCGCCGGACGTGCAAGTGGCCACCGGCAACAGCAGCGCGAGCAGCAACACGTTCTCCATGAGAAACGTGCCCGAGAGACCGTACAAGTGTAATCAATGCCCGAGCTCGACATTCTCCACGTTAGGCAATCTGAAGAAGCACCGGTCGACGAAACATCGCAAGGCCGCGTCTCGATCGGAATCCAGCGATCAGCAGAACAGCCCGCCGCAGTGCGCCGCGCAGAACGACCAGAGCGATTACGAAAGCCGTTCGTCAAGCGCGTCCGAGAACATGGAGAACTCGTCCGCGACCGCCGCCACCGCCAAATCGAATTCCAACACGTCGCCTACGATAAATAACGAGGGCACCAAGTCGCGCAAATCGCCTAGATCGTCACCGGGTCCTGGTGACGTTCCCTTTAAATGCTACCTGTGCGACAGCGGCTTCTCCGAACGCCAAGACTGCTTGGACCATATCAAGGTACATCACAAACGCTCATACGAGATGCTGAAGGCCAAAGGCGCTCTCGAAATGAATATAGATGCGGCCGAAGATCAGATATCCGCAGCGCAGCAACATCTCAGCGACGGCGAGGAAAAGAAAGGCCGTTTTCCCGACTATAGCAATAGAAAGGTAATAAGATATAATGAAACTGTCGAAGATAAAAAAATATTGTTATTTACGTCACTTGAATATTATTTGAAAAAGAATTGTTTTACATTTTGTTTATTCCTCAAAAGGTTTGAAAGTATTTTTTCACATAAAATACGACTACTTTTTATAAAATATTTTAAAACAGTCAACAGCTTAATATTTTATTCAAAATTTGAAAGAGAATTGCTCGTGTACCTTGTTTTGTATATGTTTCACAAGATTTTGAACTACAGCATTTTTTATTTTTTAAAATCCATCAATCTCTTTAGATATCTCGAAAAAATCAAGCTAGCGATATTCGTGGAATGTACATAACATCCTTCTATCTCTCCAGGTCGTGTGCGCTTTCTGCATGAGACGATTTTGGTCCGCGGAAGATCTTCGGCGTCACATGAGAACCCACACGGGCGAGAGGCCCTTCGCATGCGATATCTGCACTAGGAAATTCACGCTGAAGCATAGCATGCTGCGTCATCGCAAGAAGCACGAATCGGTGGATTCCTCCATGTACATAGGCAACAGCGGTGACGAGGAGATCTCGCCTGCGCAGCCACCGACGATAACCCCCAGGAGTCAGCAGCATTCGCCGATCTCCACGAACACCAGCAGACCCCGCACTCAGGACAGAATATCCCTGCCGACCGTCGCGGCGGTCGCAACGGCGGATGCGGCACCCTGCGCATTGATGCGATATAATCACTACGATAACATGGCCACTCTCTCCGGCAGAATGGCAAACGACGGTACGCAGAGCACCGCTCCTGCCTCTCTGCCGTCCCCGCCACCACCTACGGAAGCACCCGGCGAGAGCGGAGACAACGATCTGATTTCGAACTTGTTGGGAATACGCGAGAAAGGTTTGCTCGACAAAGTTCTTCTAAGTTCGGCGGACGACGCGGCGAAGCTGCTGGGTGTTAATCACAGCGAGTGATAAATTTTTGGGGATAAAAAAACGTGGTACGATCGAATATATCGCGGCCGCGTGAGCAAGTACTTATGAAAACTTACTTTTTAACGCGCGAAATCATGATGCATCCGCAATGTAGTCATAATCACCTGAAATTCGAAATATATCTAAATGTATGTATAATCTGTATATACATAACACAAATACTTTCAGACCGAAGATATAAAAGTGATAATGAATGATTCAAAGAAAGTTGTAACTAAAATAGCGGAGTTCTTCTGTACGTAATATGATCGTTCTCTCCATGAATTTTATTCTATTAGAAAAACTGCGAAACTACGGTGTTTTATACGAATACGTGTGATAAATTAATAAGAAACTTTTTTTTTATAACGAATTGATAGGGAAAGTTTTTTGTAGAAATGTATGGGGGATCTAAGCATTCAGTCGCGTCATTGATTGTAGTTAAGCGATTATCTTCCATATATTCTAAATTTTTTTCTGCGTTTTTTGGTCACGTCAATAATTGAAAATGACCATCTATGTACCATGGCCCTTAAATTATTCGTCGAGTTCTTCAATCCTTTAATTAAGATTCACGATCGTGCCTTACATCTTTTATCAATTTATCGCACGTATTGTATAAAGTATTTTCTAGATCTTTTTCTGTCGAAATAATTTTCAGAGAAATTATTTTTTCACAATACTTCATTTAAACTTTAATTTAAATATATTAAGGCTGAAATAATGAAATAAATTCAAAGGAATAAATGAGAAGCTATATAGAATAAAATCCGGACCGAACAATACACGTTCTTGACACAAGTTCTTTTTTTTATGAAAAATTTTATGAAAATGAGAAAATATAAGGAGAAAATAAGGATTTGTACATCTTTTCTGTATTACATTTTCTTTGAATAGATTTAATATATGATTACGATCATATCGCTTTATTCGCCGTATAGGCATCACGATTTCGCGAGGGTAAGCGCTTGTTAAAAGTTTTTATAAGTATCTTGCTACAATTATAACGATAAATTTATCAATAATCTTCTTCTGACATGTGCATTAGAAATTGAGAGAATAACGTGTGTGTTTGTATTTTGTTTCACACAGTATTAGACGTAGTTCGTGATACACAATCGCAAATTTTCAATTTTCTCATTGCCGATACAATCGTAGCAGGATATTTATAAAATATATAAAAATAATGTTGGTTTTTTTTTTTAAAGAACTAAATTTATAAATATCCTGTAAAAATTTTCTCAGTCGATCACTTCTGCGAAGTTTCTATCGCGAGAAAGTGACCATTGCATTTAAACCCAAAGAATTCATTTGACGAAATGAATTAAGCTAGCCATATGCACTAGGATTTTATTTATTGTTAGTCATGTATTTCTACAAGAGTGAGAGAAGTGTAAGGTGCGAATGTAACTGATATATAAGCATTATTCCGATGTGTTTAGAAACTATGTTCGTCGACGAACCGCGCTCGGATGTTCCGCGGAAATGTTTCCGACTATGTCTCATATCTGCGGAAAATTCGAAAATGACTTTACACGTGTTAAAGGAACTCGCTCGCCTCTTTAAAAAAATAAAAAAATAAAAATCGTGAATGTGATTCTAAGTTATATCGGTATATCAATCGTGTCGATATTATATTTTACTCTCTTCCTTTTCGAGGGGACACGAGCGAGGCGAGATGTAATTTTCACACGGATAACGAGCTGTGGAAATGCGCAGAGCAATATAGCGAAGAGTTGTATCACTACCAATTAGATTGTAATATCTCATAGCGTTAAAGTTTAGTGTATATAGATAGCTCGATTATACTTCGCGAATGCTATTATACCAAATAATTAACTTGATTATTGAGGTAGATAGACCCTTAGATATTAGCGTGAGATGAGTAGACGGCGGATTTAACTAGGCCAAAGGGAAACGACTTGTATTTCTTACTCCTTCACCTTATTCAGTTCACTTTGTTGTTCGTTTTGTGCTTCTACGCAGTCTCGTTCCGGCTTTACTTATATCACATCCTCTCTTTCCCTCGATCTCCATATTCTCTTAGACATATGATATTTATTATTTTATAGCGGAGACAATTGTACGCGGCTATCAGTGGCTATATGTTTTAGCCGATCCTAAACCGAGATTGGGAATAACATCTGGCAACGTCGTTCTTGATCTCGTCTCGGCGCATTCTTCTATGTTTCTGTCGCAGAATATTTATAAAATTCAATACTTTTATTTAAAAAAAAAAAAATTTAGTCTTTATACGAAACGTCATTTTTTTTTGGCGTTTTATAAAGCCTAGATTTATTTTTATAAAAGTGAAATATTCTGTGTTAGACACATCACACGCCGGTATATTAACTATATTGTGCATATAGAGTATGCTGAAGGAAAACTATATTTACTAAAGCGAGCGAATCCATTTGAATCTTTCGAGTGTCATTTTCCTTGATTATTGCGAAAATTAAGGTATCAAGTAATCATTGTAGCGCACTCGTACATGGATATAAGTTGTATTCTCTGATTTAAACCAGGAATAAAATAAACGGTACGCAATAAAAAATCAAGTGTGATGATTATCTTTAATTTTCTTTCATTTGCAGCTTAATCTCAAACTCTTAAATCTAGTAATCAATTTTTAGAATAAATGTGCGCGCGCTTTCTAAATCAATTTGTAACTTCATTACTAACTACATTTAATTGCATCGATAAATATGAAAAACTTATATTAGATGTTATATCTAAATACTATAGAAAGCCCTTAAAAATTAGTAACATAGTTTATTAAACAAATTTAAATGTTTTATAGCTGCTCTTGGAAGTTAAATTGATATAAAAATTAAAATTAGAAATCAAATTTTGGATTTATTTTCTTTCAAAGATGGATACTTACTGATGGAATTAATTATTTTTAAGCGATTATTTTATTCAGTCTTTTATATTTTTATTATTTTTTTAAATATATTTTCAATTGAATAAACAATAGAAACCGTACAAGAATGAATTTAGCTTATACAATTCTAACAGATGCACGTCGGCGAAATTGTACATCAGTATCTATACTAAATTAATCTATAAATTAAATTAATATCTCAATCAAATAAAATTCATTATCTTTTCTTAAAACTTTGAATTAGATATTAGAACAGACTAGTAATAAAGAAAACTTGACAAAACGTTTCTTCATATTTAATAACAAAAAGATAAAATATAATGAATGACAAAATAAAATAGGCATTGTCTTATATTAGTTTAAAGGAACAAAATTGCGTGAATAGAATCATTATATATTTCTATAAAGACAGACGTTGCAGCTTATCCGTCAACTCTGAAGATGAATCGGCAATAAAAAGCAACTTTCCTTTCTGCGTGCCCAACAGCACCTTATGCATATTTGTCAGATAGTGTATTATGTCCTGTTTCGTAAGATACGGTGCCTTGCCGCCATCCTCGTAAATCAGGAACCATTCGGTTATGTTCTTATATAGATCGTTGTAAAAAATCTGCGGACTATGGAAGACTTTGCTCATCTCCTTTGTGATCAATTCTTCCATTTCAGGTTCCGGAGGTTGGTCCACCATAAATACCACTTTCTTCAAAAAGCCCAATATAATCCTGTCATCCGAACGGCAATTTTGTCGCAAGGCCATCATTATGCATGGTTCAGTTTGGACCATGTTTGTATCGATGCGATACTGCTTGCCTTTTCCTTCAAAGCCGATGATCTCGTCCTCCTTTACTGGTATCAGAAATCTAAGTGACTCTCCAAGGCCTCTATTCGTAAAAATGATCAAATCTTTTATTTGTTCAGGCTTAATACTTTCTTTACCAGTGATTATACCCAGATAAGCCTTGAACAAATATAACAAACTGAATTGACGCTCATTTTTTTGCATGGATGTTAAAGTGGTCATGCTTATCTTCGTTTTCTTTGACATTTTCAGCTTAATTTGCACGAAACGGTACATGTATTGGGGAGTAGCCTCGTCTTTATTATTAATTTTATATTTCAGAACTAAATCATGAAATCCGCGTGCGTTGCGCATCTCCGTGGCCAACAACCAGTCATTCATATCGTCCTTGCGCATCAGCTTCCATGCCACCCACGTCAACATTTTTATTTGATACGTGATTCCACGCGTCACACCATTTTTCAAATAAGCAGCTGTATATTGCTCTTTCAATACTGGTGCTGTGAAATTAATCGTTCACATCATTAAAGCGCCAAGATGACAATAGAAATTTATAACGATAAAAAATAATAGGAATAATTTTGGAAATATAAAAAATTAGGAATATACACATAGTTTCAATATATTAAATATATAAGTTTATGTCATATTAATATAAATTAATTAATGCATTCATATATATTATATATTTTAAATAAATATCTATGATCTCTGGTAAATTTAGATATGATAAATGTATAAATTGTAAATGTATTAATTACGAGAACGAAATTAACCAAGCTATAATCTAAAAAAAGTAATTTAACACCATAAAAAAGAAATACAAGTCGAGTGATATATGATCTTTTGCGATAAGATATGATTCTGTGCGAAGCATGCTATATTCATTGTCAATGTTCTTCGTTAAATATCGCAACCCTATTTATTTTAATGGATAAAAAAATCTATAATGAAGTAATTAATATCAAATAGATGAGATAAATTTAATTCAAATTTTTATAGCTCTGACAAAATGTTTTATATTAATTTATTTATTTTTAAACATTAAATTATATTATTAACAATAATTACAATCTTTTTATAGCAATTAACACATCACTAATTTGCAAAATTTGAAATAATTATGACAACTGTAATGTGCTATAAGTTATTTATGATTGATTTATCGACGAGAAACTTTATGAATTTGCATTGTTATGCAAACGAAAGATTCAAAGGCACGAAGCAAAGTCGATAATTGAAATATGTCATTCTTTACTGAATTAGGAAAAAAAATCATATCCTGTATAATGTATCTTAATTCTTTTCTTTATGTTTCTATTTTTAGAGTTGACTCCATACGATGCATTCAACGAGACAAGATTAAATTGTACGTATAGCTACTATATGAAATGTAACAAATTGATAAAATTCAGACGACTAAGATAATTTTTAACGGAAACAGCGTATATCACTATATGCAGGTCCATTATATCGACACAATGTGCTTTGTTAAAGCGACAAAGTACGATAAAGCGAATGATGAAACTACGTCACAATTAAATTCTCAGCGATCGTTGTATTTATTGCAAATGTGAATAACAAAGTTCGTAGCAAAGTTTCTAGAAAGAATTAGTATGCACACAAAAGAATTTTGTCTTCAATGCATTGTCTCTACGTAGAATATCATAAAATACTGACCGCTTACAATACCGTTGGTTTTAGTATCCTCCTTTTGATCGATTTCCACCTCGCTTTTAATTAACTTTTCCATGATGTATCACCAATTTGTGTAGCTAGCACTGTCTCGTAAAATGCAGCACGTTCCTACTTATATGTACGGCGGTCTTCTGCAGACTAGAAGGATCTTTGAGGAACAATGAAGCCACATGGAACCTCTCTGATGCAACTGCTGCTAGGAGGGGAGAGTTAAGAGTCGAATGGTTGAGAGCCTGTCGTCGAGAAATATTTATAAACAAAAGCGATAAAAAGGATGACTGAGAAGTAGAAGTGAGTAAGAGACCGAGTTGGATGGATTTTTCTTAACGATAGATTTTCTAAGAAATATTTCTCATTTGTTGGCTAAATTTAAACTCAATATGAAATAAAACATGAGCACAATAAGAATTTTACGATTGTATAAATGTCGATAATCAGAAATTTATAATTATTTTGTATATAATTATGTATGAATGTATATTCTTTGAATAATTACAATTATAATGGTTATAAATTAGTAACTATTTAAATATTTTATTATTTAAGAAATGTTTTATTACTATTCTAGAAAGAACGATATATTGCGTTTGCAATGATAAAGATCGGTACTTCCTAGTAAAGATAGATAATAAATATCAATAATAGTAGAAGTGACAATTAGTATTTTTCAAGTTATCGATACTTATGAATCATACAATAAAGGTTGGGGAAGAACCTTGGTGGAAAAAAAAGAGAAGCTATGTGCTTGCACAGAAATATCAGAATAGAAGACTTATCGCAGACGATTTTCGAAATGCATTTGCTTGTTGTTATAATTAAAAATACGCGTCAATAAGATTACTTTATCTTACTTGGGTTGATTTATATATATATATATATATATATACACTTTTTTCCAAAAGAAATGATCTTATTGGAAAATGCAGATTTAATTTTCATTATTCATTATTCAGATTTAATTTGGATTATGTTTAATAGAAAGAGATTCAGGATTATAATTATAACAGGAACGGGATTATAATTATTAATGTATAATACTTTTCATAGATGTACTTTTTATTTCGAATATTATATCTGGCGAATAATAATGATTACTTAAATAAAGTCATATTACGATGAATGAAGCAAACCACTATGTACATATAAATACTATATGATTCACTATATTGCACTCCATCACAGAATGCATTCTATACGTTGCAGCTTGTATCATCTACGCGCGAAAATCGTTTTAGCGTACTAACTGTGAGATATCGTTAAAACTTTTACTTTCAACATTCCTTTTTTTCAACACTATATGGAAAAAGGCGCACTCTGTTAAAAATTCAACATCTAAATTTATCGGACAATCTAACATCAGCCTGCAGCAATAGTGCTAATAACTTACTCATACAAACATGTGCGTTATAACATGACGCGCATTCGTAAATCGGTCCCGTGTGCGCTGTTAATTTTTGTAAAAGCGAACATATCTGAACATCAAGGGCAATTAAACGCGCACGAGACCTGGAATAACGTATTTACGAAAGCAATATATTTAGGGAAGTTACACGTGAAATATCGCCAGTAGAAACAAAACTTCATTATGATGCAACCGCTTATGGAATGCTACATTAAAAGGCCATTCTTTTATTTTACTCGTTTTTTTTTATGGATTATATTTTATTTCAATCACGCCGAAAATATTCGAAATAATCTTAATCAAGATATATGTTTTTGATGTATTTCATGTGTGTTTTATACACATATCGTTTTGTCACAATTAAAAATTGAAAATTACAAAATCATCAAGAAAAAAATCTGAAAGAATGAAAAATATCATTATACATGTAGATTGTATTGTTCAGCAGATTATATAAAAATCTATCTGATTTCCACTTTTGATCATTTTATGGGCATAAATTGCACAAACACTAAGTAGCCCATACTTGAATTATTTTTATTATTACGATCAGCAACTACTTCGAATCTAGCTACAATTAAAAAAAGCTTCATGGAGATTCTTATACTGGCGAAATATCTTATATAGGAAGATCTCTTTTATAATCTTATTAAGTAATCTCTATAGTGGAAAAAGTATCGTATTATGCACGAGAAATCTGGAACACGTTGCTCGTTGAGATATTCATATTGAATCTCTCGTCACGATATCTAATATGCATATGCGTAAATATATAGGCAAGTTGTAAAAAGCAGATGCAACATGAACGCAACTTTAGATACTAATCAGAATATATACAATTATTGGGAGTACTTTTCTATTTTTTTTTTTTTAATGATAAATGACGTGTTCTGTAAATGAATCTATGAGCCTCATGGCACATCTAACGTTAAACGTTTCACAACTTTATCCACTAAAAAGGTGCTTACAAAATTACACTTCGAAATATTATTGTTTCTAAAATTGATTATTGCTTTTTGAATATGCCCCGATGCGAGCACAACTTTGATAAGAGCACACACGAGTCACAGATAAGTAATCGTTATGACTGATTCCAATCTTTTTAAAAACCATTGTTCAAATTAAAAAGTCGCAGAAACTTTTTATCTTGTTTTTTTTAGAAAAACTTTTCTCCTATAGTAGTATAATTCATAGAATCATAGATTCATGAATAATTGTTAAATAATTATTTTATAACAATTATATATAGCACAGAATTAATCACATTCTATGAATCAAAATTGATTGATTCTACAGAATTTTGGAACATCTAGTATATATGAATGTTGAGTCTATAAGCATAGAAATAGTTGATACAGATAAAAGCATGTTCTAAATATAAATCTGTTTCAACATCTCGTATATCTCTGCATAGAGGCAAGAAATTATAAAGATACAGCTGCATTTAATGCTAAATGTGCAATGAGCGAGCTCACATGTCTATTGGATGTTTGCAAACCTATTTCACTTTTAAATATTTTTTGCATACAATGAACATCATTCGATACGCACTCATAAATAACTGTAGCGTACACTGAGAGTAATGGAAATATTAGAATAAAAAATTATCGCTTTGTCAAAACTTGCTACACTGTTTGGTTCATTTGTAAATCAGTGTTATGCTCAATTGTGCTTGCCATCGAATATCTACACATTTCGATATCTTCCGCATTTTCTTCCGCTTTAACGGAGTCGTTAGCCACATGAGCACTCTGTGTCTTACATATTTCACCTGACGTAGTAATATTATCCTCTGTTTTGATTTCTTGCTTAACTGGGAACGCTTGTTTCTTGGTTTTAGTTTCCTTCTTGGGATCTGTCCTCTCCCTCTCATACATAAATGTTTTCCGTTTCCTTCGCATTGGTTTACATACCTTTTTGTAAAGTACATTCATCTCTTTTATTCTACTGGTCGGGATTGTCCAGTCCATTTCTTTAGCGGTTGTGTCAGAATTCCGTGTCGGATCCATGCTGCTTTCGTATTCCGGAATTTCTAGTCCCAACTTTTTCATGACTGCGACTATTATTTCATCCACATTGCCGTTAATAATGAGATCGGCTTTCTTGTCCTACAATTATATGTTACCTCAGTTATACAGTTTATTGTGATAAAACTGAAAGATGTTATATACATATACTTTTTATATTTATATAATAATCTCACGTGTTTTGTGGGCTGTAGGTTACATATAACCAGACGACCTCCGTATTTTTTTGTGTACAAAGGTAGATTACCGCTCGGAATAATTTGTAATGTTGTTCCTAAGCATATGCTTAGATCGGCGACACTAAAAGAACGTCGGTTTGAAAATTATCTGATATCGATATACATTGTGATATTTTACATATAGTTTTACAAATGCTTTTTTATTACAGAACCTGAGACACAAAGCATACTAAAATTGTGTGCTTCATTATATTTATAATTTTTAATGTAATTCTTGATATATATTAATGCTCGTCCATTTAACGACTTTGAATATTAGCATCGTATTTTTAATGCGAGTGCGTCATATCATTGTCGCTCACCTGGAATGTAAGTCAGATAATGTCAAATCACTGTCCGGTAAATTATGCTCCCAATCAAGAATAGTGTCGTGCATTCGACCACGGCACGGACGGCCGCCTACTTGTTCTGATCTGCATACAGTATCCAAAGATTTTTTCCCCACACTTTTGGTTGCAAAATTGCGAATAAATTGTCTGCAAAATAATTTAAATTTGTTGTATTTTTATTATTGTTATTATAATAAAAGTAATATGGCAGTAAAATATATGTAATTATGAAAAAATTAATGTAAAAAAATTTTATACTTATTTTTTAGAGCTGTAAGTACACAATTAAGTTTTAAGCAAGTTATATATTTTTTTATTATATTTCTTTCTGCATGTATTTTTCATCATATTTTTGTGTACAAACCTGCCACATTTGTCGCACTGTTCTGTAAACATATTTCCATGCAATTCTGCAAGATACTGCCTCTGTAATCCCGATCGTAAATGCAGACCATCTATGTTCTGGCTTATGATAAACTTTACTCTTTCTACGAAGAAAAATTTGGTGTCAAATAGATATAAAAGATTTAAAATCTCGTTCATAATTTATTTGTCAACACTTACTAGCCTCTATCAATTTTTTCATTGCCATGTGTGTCTTTGTAGGAATTGCTTCATCAAAAGAAATGTTCATTGAAGGTTTCAGACCTTTTTGTTCCAATGTCCATACACCATTTGTACCTCTAATGCAAAAAAAAAAAAATATTGCTCCAATTAGCAAATAGAATTTGTTAAACTGTACTTTAATTAATGTCTAATTAATGCCTTTGTTAAATAACTATAAAGTTTAATTAGTTGTTTAGAATGTTTATCTATTCTGGTTTCGTCTTTTTTTTTATGCGATATAAATGTCACATAATTACCAGAGTTTTGATAAACTCACGAGCATATTATATTTTAAAAGTACACATTATGTTTCTATATCTCTTTCATAAAAAAAAAAATATCTTCTAATTTAGTTACAACTCAATGTTATCATCCTCATACTTAATTTTCACGCTTCAAAAATTCTTGGGATCTTGCTGCATAATGTCAAATAGCATCTTCGGTAAAGGACAGGGAAAGAGGGATGACTAGGGAGCTCAGGATGGTGGGAAGTTCTTAATTTCGAGAAACGCCAAGGCGATAATCACCGGAAGTCCGGAATACCCGCAGCGGTGCTAATACCGGCACCAGTGTGGACCACGACGTGACGGGCGCCTTGTATCCAGTCGGCCAGAAGGCCGCATTTCAGGCGAAGCGTTTCAACAGTGTCGTATCTCTGCAAGCAAAAGAAAGTTCAGGGAAAAAAAAAAAAAAA